GCACGGGCGGGGCCGCCGGGACGCCCGGCGCGTCGGCGCCCGGCGCGGTCGACGCCGCGCTCGCGCCCGCGGCGGCGCCTGCGCTTGCGTTGGCGCCGTTGCCTATGCAGCAGGGGCGTGGCACGCTGGCGCCGGCGCCGGTGGTTGGGCGATACCAGCACCTTTGATTGCCTGCGGGCCTTGGCGGCCGCCACGGCTCGGCATCCGGAAGCGCGCTCGTGGTCGGCGCACCCGGCCGCGCAGCGGTAGAACAGGGGCTGTCTGGGCTTTACTTGTTCCCTTTTGGGCGGCGCCATGGCCTCTGAAGTTGCCAATTTGATCCGCCAAGACCATGGGGCTGGCTAAACCGCTCTGCAGGACTGCAACCGAACAAGCGCTGCGCCGAGCCACGTGCAACCATGCGCCTGGCACGACGGGGGCGGCGCGCTCAATGCTGTGCATCCGTCCGCACCCGAAGCAGGGGTTGCCCGCCGCGGCAGTGGTCGGGTGACGCGCTTTTCGTGCTTTCCATCTGGCCTGACGTGACCGCCCTCTCGCGCCCGCTGCCTGAGGAGAGGCACTGACACAGCCTGTTGCTTTGGCATCTCTTGGCCCGAGTGGTTGGCGCCCATATGGTTGTACCTGATCCTGTTGCTTATTTCAATCACCAGCTTCTTTCTTTGTTTAAAGCCCCACGTTTCGTGCTTGTTGAAGATCTTGCGGCTCGCTCGCTGTGCACACCTGTCCCGCCCAGCTTGACCCCCGAGCTTCTGCCCGCGGCCCCGCATACAAGTTGTGCCCCTTGCGCATGCAGCAAGGCGGCGAGGTCGCGCGCCAGTGTTGCAGGCGCGCGCCTTGGTGTCTGTGGCCTGCCCTCCGAATGCACGCGCTGCAGCCAGCAGCGATGAACCTCAAACACCACACACCGCTGCCATGTGCACAGGGCTCAGCCTGCCCCCTTGCACCAGCGCCCCTCGCGGCAATCGCCGGCGCCGTGAAACCGGCCCACCCGCTTTGCCCTCCCCGCATGCCTCGCAGCGCCCGCCCGCCAAAAGGCGGCGCGCCTGCGCTGGCAGTACCGTGTGTTTGCGTGTGTGTGCAGGTGCGCGCGCCGGCGGGCCGCACTTAACGCTGCATCTGAAAAAATATCGTCCTTCTCAAAGCCTTGCTTGGTCAACACGCCGTCTCGCGGTCGGCGGCGCTGGCGCTGGTGCACGCGGGGCTGCTGCCGCCGCCTGCTTCGACGGCCCCCTTTCATTCGCCTCGTCGGGCGCCCTGGAAGCGCAGCTTGCTCGCCACGCATCTGTATTCTTTCCTTGAGACCGGCGACACGGGCGACGCGCGCTTTCCTGCTTTACTTGCTTTGATTCCGGATCATGGAAGGCTGCCGTGAGAAGCTCAGCGGCGAACCGCGAAGCGCTGCGGGGGACCGCGAAAATCCACAGGCGCCCCCGGCTGCGTGCATCCGGGCGTCATCATCGGCCCTGCTGCGGCATCTGCTGCGCTCTGGCTGGGAGGGGTGTGGCGCCCTGCTCCCTGCTTGAGCGCAGACGCAGCCCCCTCATCCTGCCCACTGCGACTCAATTCGAGTCTTGGTTCCCCAGCGCCCGTGCCCTCGCCCCTTCCCGGGCCCCGGGACCTTCCGCCTGCCCCTCCTGCGTCGACGGTTGCCTGCGCCCTGCGCCCCTGGCCCAGCACTCTCGCACCTCTTCTTTCCAGAAAGCTTACGCACGCCCTTGCTTACCATAAACAAGTGATGTGCAGCCCCACGTTCCTGTGCACACAGTCCTGCACAGCGCCGCTCGTGCGTCACACCACTGCCGCCGCCCCTCGCGGTGCCCGCAGCCCGCTTCGACAAGCGCTTTTGCACAGGCCCTGGAAACGCCTGCATGAATTCCCCCCGTCTGCCAATTTCGTGCCGGCACGGGTGCGGCGTCTGCAGGGGCATCTTCGCCGCTGACATGCCCTGTACTGATCTGACGCAGGGGTTGATTGTTGACCACTGGCATGCTCGGCGCGGCGCACCTGCTCCGCCGCTAACGCCATAAACTGCAATGCAACCCCCCTGAGTGTGTCGTGTGTCATGGTCGCCCATGGTCTGCCGCGGCTGGCCTGTCTGGGATGGCTCGATGAGCAAAGTCCCTCGTGCAATCGCGGCTGAAATGTAACTTGAGTGTGCCCTTCTGCAGAAAGGGTCGTCGGGTTACATGGTCGGGCGCCGGGTGCCGATGCGTTGTAATTCCGGGTGTGTGGGCGGTGACGGCCTGGCTTTGGTGACGTCAGCAGGCAGGCGCCACCCCATGGGTGGTGCATTTGGGGTGCGCGGTCGGAGAACACACGCGGGGGAGGTGTGGAGGGGACAAGGCAGCGAGCACTTGACCTGGATCGACTACTAAAATGTTTGTGGGAGTTGTCTGGATCCAGCATGCCATGTGGCTGGGATGCCCATGATCTTGATGCAATTCGAATTGACTGTGCAACGGATTGGCTCCATCGGCAGGCGTGGGTGATGCCAGCCTCATCTCCCAGCTACACCGACGTTACTCAGGCATCCCTCCAACCCCTTCAAAATAACACAAAATGCATCAAAGTCGATTTGCACTTTGGAGCGCTGGCGACTCGCCTAGGATGCTCGCTACTCCAAGCAACAGTTGCGCGCCGCCGTCCACACAAGCTGGACCGCGACGCATGCTTCGTGACAAACTGCCTTGAACATATTAAACAACCCAATCGAGAGCCTTGGGCCAACTGTAAGCTGCGGCCCTGCAGATTCATGTGATTGAAGGTTGCTGAGCACTGACTTTGGTTTTTTGTTACTTTAATACAATCGAGGCCCATCGTACGTCTACATATGCACGCGTTCCAATCTCCGAAACGCTGATCAACGACGCCCATCGCTGCTTTCTTCCAGGGAATAACATGACGACCGTTACGCGTCATAGTCCCAACCTGTCGCAGCAGCGCCGCTGCACAGCGACGCGTCACGCGATGGTCCGTGCCCGCGCCCAGGTGGCGGGCCGAGCCTGGCACACAAACGCCGACGCGCGCGACGCATCGCAGGTGCGCGCCACGCGCTGCCGCTTCTGCAGCCGCGCGATCCTGGCGCCTTTGGCACCCTCCACCTTACATCAAGCCACCACCCCAGCCTGCCGCCATGCCCGGCCCGTATCCTGCCGGTGACAGCCTGCTGCCCACGTGCACGATTTGCCGACGCTGCAATTTCAACGCTCCACCCCACTGAATGGTTGCAACGATTGACACAGCCCGGCTGCCCAATTGCCCCCCAAATTACCTAGGAAGCCTCGGCTGTCACGCGCCGCGCATTCATTGCGCTCACGGCCGGCACTGGCACGTACCTGCTCACCCCGCGCGGCGCGACGGCGGCCCGCTCCCCGCCCAACGGCGCGCCGGCGGCCGCCGCCGGCGGCACGGACGGGTGGGCCAAGTTCACAGGCTATGCACTACAGCCAGACCTGTACCTGGTGGGCTGGCTGTGCATGTGCATTTTTATGTGCAGGTGTGGGTGTAAGTAAGCGTCTTGCGTTCAGGCTCGCGCCGGGGTTCGCCCCGGGCAGTGTGTGTGCAGATTGGTGCACAAAGCGGTGTGTTCTTATTGCGAGGTGGCGCGCATGCGCGCCGTCGCGCACACGCGTTTTCTGGGCGGCCCCATTTCCGCAGCAGGCACTGCCGAGTGGCTCAGCCGGGTCGCTGATTTCTGGCGCGCAGGGCCTCACACATAGACAGCGCCCTCGGATCGGGAGGCCTTGCTGCCCTCCTTTATGTCCGCAAACCATGGGTTGATTTTACAGCAGCAGAAGAGGGCATGTCCTTTCATGAAAAACGGAAGTCGGTGTAGGGAGGGGGAGGTCCTGCTGACTGGCGCTTGCCCCAACCCCTGTAACGTTCCCCCCCCCACCATCTCGCGCAGGGCCAGGGCTACACCCGCCCCATGAACTACGACAATGAGCCCAAGTACACTTTCGAGTACCCCGGCTCCTGGCAGGAGGAGCCCGTCAGCAAGACGGACAAGAGCACGATGGTGATCAGGGCCTGCGCATTGGCGGCATGATATGCTGCGACTTTGCCGGCCCTCGATGTTCATGCTGGCAAGGGGGGGGGCGCAGGATGCATGTTGTTTCCAACACACAAGTGCTGGCATGGTGGCGAGTGCTGGCCCAGATTGCTGGCCCAGGCTTTGGGCTGTGCATGCTGCGTGGCATGGGAGCGCCCCATCGACAGGCCGTCGACGGCCGGGCTGATCCTGAAGGCTAGGATGATATCAGCCCAGTCCTTGACGGCTCCTCTCGGGGCGGGCGCGGCTTGGTTGGTGAATATTCACAATGCCAGGTTGCAAAACCGAGTTTGGTTGGTCATGCGCGGTCAGGTGTCAAGCAAGCCTCGGGTGTGGCAGGCTGCTCATTCTTACATATGGTCCACACCCGACGCTGCTGACACCACTGGCGACCGCCGGGCTGGGGATGTAGGCCTGCTCTGCCCTGCGGGCGGGGTCCACTAGGGGAGTTGGTGCGGCAGGGTACTGACCGGTGCTGGCCGTGATTCAAGGGTGTGCTTTCATTCTTGTGTGAGGCACCCAAAAATGTGGGGGCCGGTGTCAAACAATGCAACCAGAAAGCAATTCGGGAGGCTCGCTGACCGTCGGCAGCGCCTGCTCCTTGCGCTACGTCCGCCCTCCGTCCTACCACACCGTACACCCTCTCCCGGCCGCCGATCGGCGCTGCACACCCAGCACGCCTCCTCATTGAAGCGGACGGGGTGACAAGCGCAGTACAAATCGACGTATTGTGACTCCACTTTAACTATGTGTCTCACCCCCTGGCATCAAACATCACATCAGTCCCTCTCGCATCTGGGGCCCACTGATCTGTGAAGACATGGGGTGGCACATATGAACCTCCCAATAATGTAACACCTCCACCCTCGCCCTCTCCCCTCTGCCCCCCCTACATACACAAACACATACACACGCTAATCCCCTCTGCTGCCACCCCCGGACCCGGGCCAGGGTATGGACGGCATGGTGCGTGACCCGCGGTCAAAGCGCACCAAGGCGTTCGTGGTGACCCTGGGCGGCAAGGATTACGCCATGGCTCGGCTGACGGACGCAAAGATGGCCATACAGGCGGGCCGATTTTCTTTTGTTCGCTGCGGTGAATGGGTTGCAAGTGTTCAGTGCAGCCTGCAAGCCGTGATCGTGCTGGTGGCTGCGGCCGTTTGCTTTTGGGGCCCGACGGGCTGCTTGTTCATGAGCAAGCGCCGGCGTGCCTTAGCCGGCGCTCAATTGATATTTTCTCAGGGGCAGGGACCATGAAGGATTTATTGCGCCTACTCCCAGGCATCGTTCAGTCGTGCGACACGAGCCCTCTGTACCGCACAAACATGCCAATAATCGGCTATTATTACCCCTGTCTACGGACTGCCCCAAAAACTCGTGTCCAACCCCATTGAACCAAGCAGCCATTTGATGCCAGTCAACCAGCCAACTGGCCGGCCGGCCAGCCAGCCAGCCAACCAACCAACCAACCAACCAACCAACCAACCAACCACCCAACCAACCAACCAACCAACCAACCAACCAGCGATCACCTCTCTCCACCACCTGTGCCCCACCAGGCTATGGCCGGCTCCGACCCCGACCTGCGGGAGGCGGTCAGCAACGCCAGCAACATGGACGCCACGAAACGCGTCATCGACGGCGTCGAGACGTACTGCTATGACATCTCAGGTGTGACAATCCGGCACGGGCGGCCGGGGTCTTGAATTGTGGTACTTAGCCCCGTTCAGAAAATCTTGGATTGGGCTGTTGAGTGCAGTATATTGACACTAGGGACATCTGGGAGCTATGTACTGTATGGCGGGGATGCAACTGCGCTGCTGAGCGCCTCGTCGCCAGCAGCGACAGTGTCAGGGGTATTGTGGTGAACGGAGAATTTTTGAATCAAGCACATGTGCGCTGTGGTGCTTGGCGTGGCGGCCACGCCACGGGGAACCAAACGTCGCCTTTTAAGCAACCTTCTCAACCGCTCTCAACCGCTCTCAACCGCCACAGGTGACCGCGCTCACTACCTGGCAAAGGTCGCCATCAAGGTGAGAGGGCGGGGAGTGGATTTTCATATTTGAACTGCTGCCCAGAAGCTTCACAAACATGAAAAGTAACAGCTTGGGTGCCCAAAGAGGCATGCTTGACTGGGGAATGACGTGCGTCCATCACCGGCCCGCAAAATGAGAGTGTTATGGTTTCCTCCAAAGAGTTTTGGTTTAGCTTAGCTTGTTGAGGCAGCCCTGCGATCCCCACGCAAGCGGTTTTGGCTTGGTCTGGTCTGGCTGGATGCATGTTCTTGTCTGGCCTGGCTGGCTGTGTTTATTTTCTGACAGGCGCCCGCAATCATACTTGCACCGCTGCGCTGCGGCACTGCACACGCGTTGTCGCAGGACCAGACGGTTTTCGGGCTGTTTGTGGCCACGCCGGTCAACGCGTGGGACGCTAACCAGGGGGGCATGCGCCACGTGTACGACAGCTTCAAGCTGCTGTAGAAGCTGGAAGGAAGCTGGAAGGAAGCTGGACAGGCTGGAAGGACGCTGCCAGGCACGTCCTCACGCAGGATGTGGGCACGGCTGCCGCTTGCCGCTGAACAGAAACAATTGGAAATGTATGTGGGACGAGCGCTGGGGGCTGTTTGCTGTGGGCAGCTGCCCAGGTCCATGGCTGCCAGATCGCCATGCATCATCACCCAGCACAGCACGTACGAGCAGGATGGCAACTCTATCAGCCCTAGCTCATAAAGCGATGACAGTTTTGAGTTCTGCTGTTGGGGCATTTTCCAGTGCAGCATCGTTCCGGTCGCCAAACTGCGCCGCACAGTCATCGTCGGTTAAAGCAGGATCCTCCAGCCCTGCCGCCCAGGGACAGCGGGAGACCTGCAAAGCCGTTGCCATTATGTGCATGCTGCCCACCGTCTGGTTTTGTGTTGAAACAAAACACCATTGTGAGCGCGTAGCCTGTGTGCAAGCAAAGCGTGCCCATCCTCATCACCTGTTAGCAGGCGGCCTGGCGCAATTTCGCACCAACCCATGAGGCCCCCAGTTTCTAGACTGCGGCTGTGCACTTTTTTCGTGGCCGCAGCACGTCTGGTGGCTGTCTCAGTTTTCAAGCCGCAGCTTTTCCTGGTTGTTTTGTGGTGCTGTTGTGAGTGCACCAAAGTTGCGAGCTGTGTAACATGATGCATGCGCTTGTTGTCAGGAATCCTGCGGTCCCTCCAGCCGCTTGGCTCGCTAAACACTGTACATATCATGGATTTTTCAGGCCCGCGCATGCGTCAGTAAGAGTGCACGCCTTTCGGTTGGCCCCTAGGACCCACTGCGGCGCTGCAAAAGTCAACCCAGCGCCGCGTCCGATCACGCCAGCCAGCATCGCCGCCACCCCTAGGGTCACAGCAGCGCCCAGGACCGAGTTCTCAGATCAGGGCGTCTGTACGCTTCATGTGTCCTTCAGCAGGCATGATCACTGCCCGCAACAAGTGCCCACAACCATGACTAATACGTCGTACCAAATCTCTACCTTCAGGTTCGCCCTTGTCCGCCACATGCACCTTGGTACCACAAGGACTCCTTGCATGCATTATTGACTGCTGTCAACTCATTATTTGACTGCTGTCAATTTTCAGACTCCTGAGTGCTGCAGCTGGGGGTGGCACTTGAGCAAAAGTCGCACCGCCTCGACTTGAGATCACTGGCCGTCGCCGGTCGGCCCCTGCCTGCCGCAAGCACCTGGCTGCAGCTGAGAACTCCCTTTCTGGTACATAGGGAGCTTGCTGAGACGATGAGGCAGCCCGTTGTGCACGGACCAATCTTCCGCCAGCATTGCCAGCCACTAACAAACACCTGGGCAGCAAACACATAATTGGATTACCCTCCTCCCAGCACAGAAAGCACACCCACGGCGAAGGCGCCGCGGCGCTCGGCCCTGCTCCTCAGAGTTCGCTGCAACCTCGAAGAGCCCCTGGCTACTGCTCCTCCTCAACCATCGGATCCGTCCACCTGCTCTCAGCTCATCCCTGAGATCTCAGATCACCCCCGAGATCTCAGATCTCGTCGATGCCGCCCAGCTCGCTCGGGTTGTAGTACACGCCCGCGTACACGTCGTCCTCCTCGTCCCCGCCAGCCTCCTCGTCAGCGTCCAGCAACGGCCGCCGCCGCGCCGCAACCAGCGCCGAGGCCCCAGACCCCAGCAGCTGCAGCGGCGGGCCGTCCTCGTCGCCGCCGGCGTCGTCTCGTTTGGGGGAGTAGACAGGGTCAGGGGGTGAGTATTCAGGGGACGGCCGCGAGCCAGCGGCGTTGGCCGCGGCGGCGGCGCCGCGGGGCGGGGAGTCGTCGAGGTTTGCAAGGAGCATCTCCTCGTCATCATCCAGGCTGGCGGCGCGAATCCGAGGTTGCTGCTGCTGCTGCTGCTGCTGGTGCTGCTGCTGGTGCTGCTGCCGCTGCTGCTGCTGCTGCTGCTGGGGGTGGCTGTGGTTGTGGTGGTGCGGCCGGGGCGCGGGGGACTCGGCCGCGGCGAACGGCGTGGGGGGCAGCAGGTTTTCCGGCACCAGGTGCGGCGGCGGCGGCTGCGGCAGCTGCCCCTGCCGCGGCGGCGGCGCGGCGCCGGGGTGGGGCGGCCGCGGGGCGGCGCCATTCGCGTGCAGCCCGATCTGCCCGCCGAACGGCCGCGGCGGCAGCGGCCCGACGGACGCGCCCGTCGCGAGGAGCGTCGGCGGCGGCTGCCCCCGCTGCTGCTGCTGCTGCTGCTGCTGCTGCTGAAAGTCGTCCACGTGGCGCCCCAGCGTCCTCCGCCCGTCCCTGAACGCCGGCCCGGCCGCGCCCATCATCGTGGCGTGGCGGCCGCGGGTGGCGACGACGGATGGGATGTCACCGATGTCGTCGGGTGACGGGGGCGCCTCCGGCATCGGCGCGGGCGCGGGGGCGGCGGGCTTGCGGGCTGGGGGGTGGCACGGGTGGGG